TTCACTCTCATGACTCATAAAAACTGTAAACAGCACCTGCCTTTACCTTCCTTTTTGAAACTTTTTATTACCTCTGTTTGTGTATGTGTTTGATGTCATTTGATGGATGTAGCTTCAACAACACTCAGAAAACAGTGCTATCAGGGACAAAGCAGCTCCTCGACTGTCACCCCCTCTAATACCTTTAACATTTATACCTTCCACCACTGACAGTGTATGCAGCAGTGTATTTATGTACAAGATGCACTGAAACAACACACCAACATCCATCCAAGAGCATCTTTCAAACCCACTACTACCTGGAAAGACAAGGGCAGCAGACACATGTCAACAGCATGACCTGTACATTTGTCTCCAAGCTACACACCATGCTGTCTGGAAAGTGTTCCTTCACAGTCGTTGGGTGAAAATTCTCAAACTTCTCACCTAATAGGTGTAGGTAAACCTGCACCAACAGTTCAAGAAGCAGCTCACTGCCACTTTCTCAAGGGCAATCAGTTCCTCACTTTTCATTCCATTGATATCCCTTGGAATATTAAAGAATTATCAGGACCTCAAAAGGTTGTAAGCTCTGAATTATTCTCTCTACCACGTGCCGAGTATAGGAATAAGCAGATAGAACAGAATAACTGAGTGACTGAATGGTTGGTGGAGAAGGGAGGACTTTAGATTCCAAGAAAGACAGAATGTGAACAAATTTGACCAGTTGAACCTCTATGAAAGCTGGACAAGCATCCATGCAGGTGGTTTGCTGGGGCTGTTTGTGGGGGTATAGCTATTTTTGTAGGGGGAAAAGATAGAGTGCAGGTGCAAATGTGGAAAAAAAAACAAGTCAATGTGAAAGGTAGAGCACTTATCTCATTATGGTGCAAGAGAGCATGACAAGGCTAGATGATATTTATTTTAATGCATGTAAGCTTGCAGGTAAGGCAGACAAGTTGAGGGTGCTGGTTAACACATGGATTATGATATTGTTACTGTCACAAAGACATGTTCTGCCCCTCCCTCAAACAGCAACTCAATATTCAAACAGTGTCAGTGGAGAAGCAGTTTGGTGACAGTGACCATAACTGTTATTTAAAATATTTTAAAAGTTCGTTATATAAAAGGACAAAGTTTCATCAGGAATAAAAAGGTACTGAATTAGGGAAAAGGCTGATTTTAAAATGACAAAGCAGGATCTGACGGAAGTGGGGAGTGGACTAAAAACAGCTTTTGTGGGAAATTTCTCAGAGCAGTGGGAGTCATTTAAAAAGAAAGTAGTCAGAATGCATGGTCAACATATTCCCATAAATAGAGAGAGGCAGGCAAATGGGTCCAGGGAACTAGAGATGTTAAGGAATGGTTAAGGCAAAAAAGGGAAAGTTTATGGTAATACTGAGATCTGAAACGTTAGAAATCCTAGAGGAGGTTAGAAAGTGCAGGGTCTTACATAGAAATATATAAGGAGACCAAAGAAGAGGCATGGGGGGAAAAAACGGTGTCTAAGATAAAGCAAAATCCAAAGACATATTTTATAAGTTTAATTAGGCAAGAGGTTAAAGGGAAGGGAAAGAGCAGGGCCATTAGGAACCACCGTGACTATTTGTGCATGGAGCCCAAAGATTCGTGAAGGTTTTGAGTGAGTACTTTGAATTTGTATTCACTACGGGGGAGGACAATATAGGTATGGAAACCTTGGAGGGAGACGATGATAAACAAACATATCAGCATTGGGAGGGAGCAGGTATTCGTGGTTTTAGCAGGCTTAAAATTGGATAATTCCCCAAGTTCAGATAAGATGCCTCCCATAGCAGGTGAGGATAAACCAGGGTCCTATCGGCCAATGAGTCTATGGTAGGGAAACTTTTGGAAAACATTCTAAGAACAGAGTAGGGCATTCGGTCCATAGAGACTGCCCTGGCATTCAACATGACCATGGCTGATTGTACACTTCAAAGGCTTTTACTCACTCCATCTCCACAATCTTGTCCACCATTATTAATCAGAAATCTATCAATCTCTACCTTAACGTACTGAAAGACTGAGGCTCCACAGCTCTCTGTGGTAGAGAATTCTGAACAATCAGAACACTGAGTCAGAACTTGTCGTCTTGGGTCTCAGAATCATACCCTTAATTTTTAAAATGTGCCCCTTGTTCTAGACTCCCCAGTTAGGAGCAACATCTTACCTGCATCTACTTTAAGATTACATAAATGTGTGAATAACTATTACGCAACTACAGATGACGCAAGACTAATTAACTTAGCAACTCTCACATTGAAAAAGTTGCTTTTGAGGTGGTGAGCTACCTTCTTCAACTACTATAGCCCATTTGGTTTACCTAGACCCACAATGCCATTAGGAAAGGAGTTTCAGTATTTGTGGCACTGAACGAACAGTGACATATTTCCAAGTTAGGATAGTGACTGGCTCAGAGAAATTTACAGGTGGTAGTTCCCCATGTATCCGCTGCCCTTGTCCTTCTAGATGGTGGAGAGTTTGGAGGGTGCTGTCCAAAGAGCCTTGGTGAATTTCAGCAGTGCATCTTGTAAACAGTGCACGCTGCTGCTACTAGGCATCAGTGGTTGAAGGAGTGAACAGTTGTGGATGTATTGTCCTGGATAGTGTCAAGCTTCTTGAGTGTTGTTGAAGTTCCACTCATCCAGACAAGTGGGAGTATTCCATCACACTCCTGACTTGTGCCTTGTAGATGGTGGACAGCATTACAGAAGTGTTATAGCGCAGAAGGAGGTCATTTGCACCATTGTGCTGGTACTGGGTCATTAAATGAGTATCATTACTTAGTGCCAATTTCCTGCTTTTTCGCCACAACCTTGCACGTTATTTGGATAAAGATAATCACCCAATATCCTCCTGAATGCCTCAGTTGAACCACACTTCCAGGTAGTACAATTCATACCTCCAGCCCTCGCTGAATGAAATTTTTTTTCCTTACTTCACCCTTGCTTCTTTTGCAGGTCACTTTAAATCTATGCTCCTTTGATGTTGTTCCTTTAGGGAGAAGCTATCCATATCTACTTGTCCAACCCACTCATGTTTTGAAAATATCTATCAACTCTCCTCTGGGCCGCCTTCTCTTCAAGGAGAAAAGTCCCAACTTCTTCAATCTATCTTCATCACTGAAGTTCTTCAACCCTGTAAACCACTCCAATGCTTCACATCCTTCATACAAATGTGGACCCAGAATTATACACAATACTCAAGCTGAGGTCTAACAAGTGTCTTTTACGATTTCAGGCTTTGGGAATCAGGAGGTTTGTTACTCACTACACCATTCCTAAACTTTGACTTGCTCTTATAGCCACTATTTATATTCTTAGTCCATTTAAGCTTCCGGTCAACAATAGCACCCAGGATATTGATAGTGGCTGATTCAGTGATGGTAATTCCAATGTGATGGTTAAATCATCTCCTCTTGGAAATGGCGCTTGTGGTGTGAATGCTACTCGCCACTGGTTGGCAGGAACCTGGATATTGTCCAGGCCTTGATGCAGTTGGGCAGGACTTACTCAGTGTCTAAGAGATTGTGAATAGGGCTGAATGTTTGCTGATAATTGCACATATACCACTTCTGATCTTGTGGTGAAAAGAAAGTCATTGATGAAGCAGCTGAAGATGGTTGGGCTTAGAACATATCCTGAGGAACTCTTGCAGAAATGTGTTGGAGCTGAAATGACCAACCTCCAACAATCATAACCATCTTCCTTAGTGCCAGGAATTGACTCCAACCAGTGACGAGTTTTCCCTCTGATTCCCATTGACTCTAGTTTTGCTATGGCTCATTGTTGCCACACTAGGCTAAATTCAGATTCGATGTTTCGGTTGGTCATCATTCGTTCGATCGCACCTCTGGAATTCTCCTCTTTTGCCTGTGTTTGAACCAAGGCTGTAATGAGGTCAGGAGCTGAGAGGCCCTGGTGGAACCCAAACTGGGCGTCTATGAATAGGTTATTGTTAAATAGGTGCTGTTTGATAGCATTGTTGTTGATGACCCCTTCCATCACTCTACTGATGATTGAGAATAGTTGAAAGGGCAGTAATTCGATGGGTTGGATTTGTCATCCTTTGTAAACAGGACATACCTGCACAATTTTTGACAATATTGCATTGATACCGATGTTATAGCTGCACTGGGGGATCTTAGCTAGGGGGCACAGCAAGTTCTGGCACACAGTTCTTCAGTACTATTGCCAGAATGCTGCCAGCATCCATAGCCTTTGCAGCATCTGGTGCTTCCAGCCACCACTTCATATCACATGGAGTGAATCAAATTGGCATTTGTGATGCTGAGGACCTCCAGGAGGTTGCTGAGGTGGATCATCCACTCGATACCTCCGACTAAAGGTTGTTGAAAATGCTTCAGCCTTGTCTTTTGCACTGTTAGTATGGGAGTACCTCAGAATTGAGAATAAAGATATTTGTGGAGCCTCCTACTTGATTGGAAGTGGGGGGCGGGGGCAGAAAGTTGGTGGCAGTATATGGCAATCAGCAGGAGCTTTTGTTCCCAATGTTTGACGTGATACTGGTGAGGCTTCATGAGGTCAGAGTCAATGTAGACAACTCTCAGGGCAACTCTTTTCTGACTGTACACCACTGTGGTGCCATTTCTGCTGGGTCCATTCTGGTGATGCAGCAGGACTTGTCTACGGACAATGATGGCTATTATGCATAAAGGTATGATTTTGAGAGTATGGCTGCATTAAGCTGTCACTCAACTACTCTGTGAGACAGCTCTCCCAATTTTGTCACTAGCAAACAGATTTTGGTAAGGTGGACTCCAAAGGGTGGACAGTTGAATTTGAAGTTTCCAGTGCTTAGGTTAACACGAGGTGGGTCACCACGTTTTTTTTCTAGGCAGTTTAATGGTTTGATGCACCAAATTGCTGAGTTTGTTAAGCCAATTCAGAGCCCATACTATTGCAATGGGGATCTGGTGCCACGTGCAGGCCAGACAAGGTAATGGCAGTTTTTTTTAGTGAACCACGAGTTTCTTATTCCAAAGGACAACTGATTCCTGATTTGGGAGGTACTAAAGGAGCTTTGGCAAGTGTATCTTGTCAAATGATAGAGAGCTGCCACTGAAGCATCAGCTTTGGGAAAATCAGGAGGTGAGTTCCTGGGGCAGAGGAACAGCTTCTGAACGCTGGATAAAAATTAAATCTTGGGAAAGATGATTTAATAATATGATGACTTATGTGAATTGAAAAAGGTAAAGTTAGATATTTCAGAATAAACTAAATAATGCTGGTGGACGTGTGGGATGATTAGCCGAAAGAGCTGCAGGCGGAGACGACTAGATGAATGGCCACAGCACGGTGAAGCTACCCCTAAATAGGCCCTTACGGGGCCTACTCACAGGGTCGATTATTATGGTTTCTGAAATAGCCATGATTCAGTACACATTTCGTATTCCATGAATGTGCAGGTTGTTTGCCGAAGGCTCCCCATTTACTGAAGGACTAAGTTGCCCGCTGGATCCCTGACATAGCGAGTCCGGAGCCCCGCGGGCAGCTACTTAGTGCGGTCTCCGCACTCTCCAAAGGTGTGATACCCATTACCCAAATCAATCCACAGGCGCTGTTTTACTCATGCGGTGTCTGTGTTGCTGCTGTCCTCAGGCCGGAGCACTGTTCCCCCTACAGTGAGCAGTTCCCACAGGCAGGGCAGCTCAGGGTGAGAATTTGTGTGTGTGTGTGTGTGTGTGTGTGACTGAGGCAGGGTGTCTAGGCGGGACTGCACCGAGAGGAAAAAAAAAAACCTGGATTTCCGTCGTAAGGTCAAACGCTGCACACCAAAACTCCCAAAAACCCAAAAACCCCCCCCCCCCCCCCCCCCACCAAGGGGTACAGTTTTCCGGATCCCTGAGAAAGGTGGGAGAAGCCAGAGGGACAATATGAAGACGCGGTGTTTGAGACGCGGCGATTTTCTAAAGAATACAATTTAAATATTTGCACAATTGAAGTGCCTCCCTAAGGCAGGGGTTAAAGAAAAACGAACTGTTCATTATCAAACTTTAGGATTAAAGCGAGGAATATCTAAGCTCCATTCTAGTAATACTTTTGAAACCGCGCCTTCACTTGGCGATTATAGGTCAGTTAAAATGGAGGGGGGGTGGGGAGCTTGACGGAGGGATTCCAAGTTGCATACACCAGCAGTAAACGGGAAAGGCTAAACTGCAGTTGCTGTGCACGCAAAAATAAGCAGGGAGAAGTTTTTGTCGAGCTGGGGACAGCAAAGAGAGAGAGAAAACAAATCTATTTATCTTCTCTATGTCCGAAGATGTCATCAAACTCGCCAAATGACTGGCGCACTGATCTTTACAGAGGCTCCTCTGCAACATTTTCTTCCTACCTCCTCCGGACCATGACCCCACATCCAAACATCAAGCTATTGTTGCCAGTACTGTCGCTGACCTTATTACCTCTGAAGATATTCCTCCTGCTGTCTCTCAACCCTGGACAGCCCGCTTCTACCTCCTTCCCAAAATCTACAAACCAGACTGTCCTGGTAGGCCCATCATATCAGCCTCTTCCTGTCCCACTGAGCTCACTTCCCCCTACCTTGACTCCATCCTCTCCCCACTTGTCCAGACCCTGCCCATCTACATCCGCGATTCTTCTGCTCTCCACCATATTGTGACAACTGTGGTTTTGTGCATTTTCTTCTGTTTTCAAGACAGATTTGAGCATCTACAGTATGTAGAAGATGGGCAGATTAGGTGGATTGACCATATTAAATAATAATAAACATTGCTCCATCGTATCAATGGATGGGTAGGTTAGCCACGGTAAATGTGGGGATAGGGTGGGGCTGTGGGTCTGGGTGTGATACTCTTCAGAAGTCGGCGCAGACTCAATGGGTCAAATGCCCTCTTTCTGCACTGTAGGGATTCTGATTCTATGAAATATCAGCTGAAATAGCTCAGTTGGGAGAGCATTAGACAAGATTTAAAGGTCCCTGGTTCAATCCCAGGTTTCAGCCAAATGAGCGCTGCTTCCTGATCATGTCAGCCTTAGTTTGGTGTGGCTCAGTGGTTAGCCTCACAGCTCCAGGAGCCTGGGTTCAATTCCACCCTCGGGCAACTGTTTGTGTGGAGTTTACACATTCTCCCCGTGTCTGCATGGGTTTCCTCCAGGTGCTGCGGTTTCCTCCCACAGTCCAAAGATGTGCAGGCTGGGTGGATTGGGCAATTTAGCATGGCCATAATGTTCAGGGATGTGTAGATTAGGGGGATGGGTCTGGGTGAGATGCTCTGAGGGTCAGTGTAGACTTGTTGGGCTGAAGGGCCTTTTTCCACACTGTAGGGATTCTGATCTATGACCTTCACTGATTCGTGGAGGCTGAAATACTGAAAGTAAAAAGTCACCATAGTCTCCCAAGAGGGAGATGTCTAGGGGAGGCTTATCAAGCAACACTGCTTTAGGCAAGGGGAGAGATTGAGAAGGAGACTCCTTCATGAGTTTTAACCTCATTTGATGTGGGAATTAAACTCATGTTGTTGGCATCACACTGCATTGCAAACCAGCTGTCCACCCAACTGTGTCCCTATCGCTGTAAAAGGAATTAAAGGATAGGGGTGGAGGTGGCCCTAGGGCAGATCAGCCATATTGAATGATGCAGCAGTCTTGAGTGACTGAGTCCTGCTCATATTTCTTAGGTTATTGACAGACCATAGTACTGTGATTGGCCTTCACTTAGACACTATCAGTGACTGGCTATGCCTATAGAATATGCAGGATAAATTTCTGCCATTTTTGACCATTCTAAAATTAGTAATAAGATAGATCAAATTTCTGAGCAGACACAGGAGGATAATTTGCACAAGATTACATAAAAATCAAAATACTGCAGATGCTGGAAATCCCAAACAAATACATATAATGCCAGAGAAACTCGGCTTGAGGGAGATAAAGAAACAAATAGTTAAAGTTGAATCTGATAAAACCCCTCTTCAGAACTGAAGAGATTACACATTAACTTTGTGTAGATAAATCTTCCATCCCTTTGGAAAGGTCAGTCCAATGCTGGGATTACTAGACATGTTCACACTTCAATGATTACCTTGTTTATACAATGCTAATGAAATGCATTTTGAAATATTTGTTGGCATTTCATCCTGTTAAAGCAAATTATTGTTGAAATAAGACCATACGATATGGGAACAGAATTAGGCCATTCAGCCCATCGGGTCTGCTTCACCCTCTACCCATAACACCTCACCCCCTTACAAATCAAGAACCTCTCTGTCTAAATACACTCTGGCTCTGTGACAGCCCTCTGCAGCAATGAATTCCATAGATTAACCACCTTCAGGCAGAAGAAATTTCCCCTCATCCAACTTCTTAAAGTCATCCCTTCACCCTGAGGCTGTGTCCCCCGGTTCTAGTCTCTTCTGCTGGTGGAAACATCATCTCCATGTCCACTCTTTGCAGGCTTCTCAGTATTCTGTAAGTTTCAATGACATCCCTCCTTGTGCTTCTAAACTCCATTGAGTACAGACCCAGAGTCCTCAACCACTGTCATATGATAAATCCTTCATCCCGGGGATCATTCTTGTAAGCTTCCTCTGGACCCCCTCCATCACCAGCACATCTTTCCTTCGATACAGGGCTCAAAACTGCTCAGACAATAGCAGTTCATCTCTGCAGTTATATTCTAGACTTCTTGAAATTAATGCTAACATTGCATTTGCCTTCCTAACTGCCAAGTGAACCTGCACGTTAACCTTAAGAGAATCCTGTATTAGGATTCCCCATCCCTTTTGTGCTTCAGATTTCTGAAGTCTTTCCCCATCTTAAAAAAAAAAGTCTATGCCTCTGTTTTTCCGCCCAAACTCTATAATCTCACTTTCCCACTGTCATCTGCCTCTTCTTTGTCCAATCTCCTAGCCTGTCCAAGTCATTCTGCAGCCTCTCTACTTCCTTAACATCACGTGTCCTTCTACCCATCTTTGTGTGATCTGCAAACTTAACAACAATGATCCAGATCATTAATGTATAACATGAATAATTGTGGTCCCAACACTGACCCATGTGGAATTAGTCATCAGCTGCCATCTTGAAAAAGGCTCCTTTATCCCCACTGTGCCTTCTGCCAGTTGACCAATCCTCTGTCCATGTCAATATCTTGCCCTTAACACCATGGCTTCTTGTCTTATTTAGCAGCCTACTATGTGGCACTTTTGTCAAAGGTCTTCTGGAAATCCAAATAGATCATGTCCATTGGCTCTCCTTTGTCTAACTTGTTTGTTACGTCCTCAAAAAAATTCTAACAGATTTGTCAGGCATGACCTCCATTCAACAAAGCCGAGCTAACTCTCTGCGCTAAATCTAAAACGGAAACAATGGATTGTCCAGGATCATCCAGATGAGAAACAGATCATGTTTTGGATCAGTGATCATTAACAGTAGAGCTAGAAATGATGTGAAGAGGCCTTAAGCAGGAAATGGGGAGGATGTTGGGTGGGGTTGGAACAAATGGGGGAGGTGGGGAGGGAATGGAACAAATTGGGAGGCCTGTGATAGATCCAAGGCAGGAGTGATTTCATGTTTCCTGAAAGGTATGGAGTAAAGAAGAAAGAAGCAGCAATGAAACAAGAAACTTGCATTATAAAGTTCAGGAAGAGGTGTAAAGAGGAGAACAAAATCATCGCCCTCTATAGTTGCCTGGAAATGGTAGTTGTAATCTGAAATTGTTGATCTCAGTGGAAGATGAGGTGCTGTTCCTCAAGTTTGTGTTGAGCTTCATTATCAAGTAAGTAATATTAGTTCTGAAATAAACCTTTAACTGATCAGTGAACCTTATCAACAGGCAGTCCATGAGAAATTAACAAGTAGTGCAAAAGAGAGAGTGTCCAGAGATTCTGCTCACCAATTGGTTTTCAATTCTTGGTAATGGTGAGGTCAATGGATCCTTGGAGGAAAGCAACAAAAGCCAAGCTGTTCTGGGGTGGAGTAAGAAGAGTGGTACTATTACGAGATCCTTTAGTTTCTAGAACAGATGGGCATTTCTGGGGCTGTCACTGTGACTCCAGAATGGTTTGTTGCCTTCCTGGTGATAGAATTAGGGTCACTGAATAGCTGCAGGACATTCTTTGGAGGGAGGGTGA